AAATACAGTTAGGTATTCAAAAGCAAATGTTTCACTGCGGTTTTATGAGTCCTAGTTTTCTTACAGAGTAGTTAATAACATAGTAAGCTATGTAAAACTTAAACTTGTCAAGTAAGTGTTTTGTAGTTTGCTGTACTAGCTATTAGTGATTCAAGTACTCTCCAGCTGATCGTTTTGTATGTGTCAGATGTGCTAATTATCAGACATAAATCCTGGACACTGAGTTGGACAGCAGGTTCTAGTCACTTTGTCAACAAGAACTGAAGTAAACTATCCTGAATTAATAGGATTAACTGAATTAAACTACCCCAGTCTCAATCAGCCTTGGTCAAAGTAGACCTGTAAGTGAGGTTAGGCAGGTGGTGAAAGCAGAAAGAGCTGTTGAGATGAAAAGCAGTACCCTTTTTAGTGGATTATATAGATGCCAGGGCATGGGAAACAGTGAAAAAGCAAGGAGGACTGAAGGATGGCCTTTGACAATGCAGTATGATGGGTGATCCAAGGAATGCCCCGAGCATTAGCAGTATGCGTGTTCATTGTATCCAATCTACTAGGATATTTTTATTTTACTCTATTTATTATATTCTATATGCAAGCTGCTTTTTCTGCTGTTCATCTTGGCAGCCAAACATGACTTGCTACAAGGAAGAAATCTTTGGACCTGTCTTAGTGGTTCTGGAAGCAGATACTTTGGATGATGCCATTGAGATGGTAAACAGCAACCCCTACGGAAATGGAACTGCAATCTTCACCACCAATGGAGCCACAGCCCGGAAATACTCTCACTTAGTAGATGTAGGGCAGGTATGCTCAAGCTAAAATTGTTGCTGTTAGTATTCACCGTTTACCATGGGTAGCCATCCAGCTATAGTGACTGATAAGACTAGTCAGGCAACAGTACTCAGCCTCAGATTTAAGGAAACAAAATGTGGTAGCTTTCAGAGAATGTTCTGCAATCTGTTCCTTCTTGTGATTAATATGGTAGCTTTCCTTTCTTATAGGTGGGTGTCAATGTTCCAATCCCAGTACCTCTGCCCATGTTCTCTTTCACTGGTTCCCGTGCTTCCTTCAGAGGTGACGCCAATTTCTATGGCAAGCAGGTAACTTGCTGATTCAGAGTGCGCTATTGGGTTGAACTTTTGCTAAATCACATTACAAATGACAATGGCGAGATGGTTGTCACACCTCATTAGTAAGGAGACTTTGAAGCCCTCTCAATCAGAAAACTGAAGTGCAGCCACCATAATGCATGTTACAACAGCCAATTCTATCAAGCCTTTTTTTAGGAGCTTGAGAAGGGAGCAAGAACTAAGTAGCAAACTCTCACAGAACCAGAATCTTTGGGGAACTAGTAAAAAGAACAGGCTGACAGGAATTGTCCCCAGTCACCTTTTTGTAGATAAAGCAAAAGCTGTTTGATACACCGCTAAAACAGACCTGAAAAATTCATAAGGCCAGATATCTGCTTCACGTGTCTATACTTTCCTCCAGGGAGTGCACTTCTACACGCAGCTGAAAACTGTCATTTCACAATGGAAAGAGGAAGATGCCACTGTTACCAAGCCTGCTGTGGTTATGCCAACTATGGGAAACTAAATCAGCCTTTGCAGATGGTGTTCCTGGTGCCCTTCTTCTATGCTGCTCTTCCCAGCTTTGTCCCAGTTATCATCATTTTCTTGGGAATGAATAGAAAGCTCTGTTTTCTCAAGGACCTCTGTTTCCGAGCACATCAGGCAGGCTCATGTAATGCACAGTCTGGGTTTTCTGTTGCTGTCGGTGTCCTTTGGCTAGCGGAATGCAACTTTTTACCTACAACCTACAGCAGACAAAACCGCTATATAACTGAAAAGGCAAATAGTGGGATAGGTCTTGATTTGCGTTTTTCCAGACCCTCTGAACTTGAACATTCCTCTGGTTTTCACTTCAGTTTCTTTAGCCTTAGTGACTCACTCCTGGTTACATCTTGTAGCAATTTTCTTTCAGCTCTTTATCTTACATGTTAAGATTTTGAGTTCACCTTAAATCAGAGTACTCATTTTGAATGATGTATCTGGGATACTTTGGGTGTCCCATACAAGTGACTTTACACACAATGAGGACAGTAAGTTTGGGAGTTGAAAATGTCAGTCTTCAGAACACTTGGGAAATAGCTTTCTAAGGATTTCTCAGGGAAGCATATTTGATTGCTTGTCTGAGGATGGAAGAAATTCCTGTATGTTACAGTGACCTTCACTGTGCCTCTGACAGCTTGAAAACTTCTCTTCGTGTTGTGCAAGTGGCTTGTATTCTCCAGCCTGCTGTCAGTTCCATTACACCTGGAAACTGTTCAGTGCCTTTTTCACTGTGCTAACAGATATGTGCCTACAGATCCTGTAACATAATTAAACTGTGGAAGCAGAAATGTAAGAATGTGTATGTATCTTCAGGTCACATCATGTGGGTCTGGGTGGACAGTAAGTAGACAGGTCAGTAGCAAGAAAGAACTCTTTTTTTAATCACGAACCTCTTCTGTTGTTTTTTTTTCCTGACTGTAGCTGTATTTCTTGTGTTGATTGGTTGACTGCTTGTCACATTTGCTCAAATACAGTCACGTTTTCTGCGGAATGCAGGTCCCATTACTGGAGAAAGGTAAGACTTGGCATGCCCCGTTTTTAAAGATCTCTGCATTTGGAGCTGGAGAGCTTATATTTTTATTCCTGGTTCCTGGAAGATGATGCAGCCATGAGGGATCTGCAGAGAACTCATTCAAGCACCCATGTAAAATAATATTATTCTAATGACTGTGACCATTACTTGTTCTAATTAAACAACCTGAATGTGAACACTTTGTATCCTGCCTTCTGGTGAAGATGCCTAGTAACAGTTATGTATTAGTGCAGTTGCTCTACACTCACTAATGTTTGTATCTTGTTTTTTCCTCTCATATACCCTAGAGGAAAATCCTCACCTTGAGTCTGATTACAAATTGAAAACATGCTAATAAATTTATGTAGAATATGACTCTTGCGTGGTAAGACATTATCTAGGTGTGATGCTGACTTTATTCCCCTCTTTGCAGAGGCTGGTCTGTGACTCCTGTAACCCATGGATACATTCTCTTTTTACAGTATTTCAAGAACCTCTGGACCAATTTCCTCATAGAGCATTTAAAAGAATGCCTTGTTTCTGTTTCCACATACACATCATTTGATTATGCTCTTAAGCTTCATGTAAATTACTTTATTGCAAACTGAAACTAGATCTTCATCAAATTATATCAACTCATATATAGAGAGTTCTAACCACTAGTCCAAATCCTAGTGCTTAGTACAGGGTGATCTGAGCTTCTGGCTTGGAAAGAATAAAATCTTTAAGGAGGAGGAAAGTAACTGTATTTCAGGTGGATTTCAAACACATAGTCAAAACAGTGGTGCAGCAGACAGGATTTAGAATTTACAGTTTTGCTCACAAGATAACTTCCCAAATGAAAAGTGCAGATGAGTCAGTAACTGCTGTGGCTGCTGGTCATGGTGTCAACAACTGAATATGCAGAAAGATTATTGCATAGGATGATGATGATGAAGAATCTGGTAATTCAGCCTGCTATGTAATGAATATTAGGTCGGGAGAATTATTTTCTGTGCTGCAAAAGTGAAATCTTCTAGATAAATCACAATTAAGACATAGGCATTCACTCAAACACCTGGGAAAAGAGTACTAGTTAACAGGCTCTATACTATTATCTACAGTCATTCACTTTCAAAACACCCTTATTTTCTTCCTAATCTGTATTGCTATTCTGACATTTATGTCATCCTATTAAAACCTATTACACCTTTCCTTTAGAAATTCTAAAATCCAGTTTCTCCTGGACTGCAAAAGCAGTCTTTATTATCAAAGTTTACCTGTTCCCTGAAGCATTGCAGGAGGATCTCTGCACTTTCTCTGGACCTGTCTGAGGTACTTCTATAATCTTTTAATTTGTGTAAATATGCTTTCTGATTATCTGCATTTCCAACAGTATTTTTTAAAAAGCTGGGTTTGAGTAATTGTACTAGACATACAGATCTTGCATCTGCCTTTTTTAGTTGATGAAATGCCTTTTTCGATGAACCTGCAGATGCTGACTGATGATGACATACCTGCTTCATCTCATTGTTACTGCTTTTTGCTCACCTGTTTATTCTCCTTTTTATTTCAACATTTACTATAAAAAAAATAACATAAAGTATCTTCTATATTATACTAAGGTATAATCCATGTATAAAGTATCTTATAATAAATTTCTTTAGAGTCCATTAAAATACAACCCTTTATAGTCAACCCTTTGTCTCCTATGAACAGTTGGTTCTTGCCTAGAAGGCACTACAGTAGAGATTCTCAAAGTTATTCAATAGTATTACATCCAAAAATGATGTTTAACCACCTGTCCAGGTGTTCAGCAGTAGCAGTCATTTTTCTCCTTAGTAGCTGGTGCAGCGCTGTGGTTTTGATTTTCGGCCTGGGAACAGAGCTGATAACACCGATGTTTTTAGTTACTGCTCAAATGTTTAGACTGATCAAGGACTTTGTGAGCCTCATGCTCTGCCAGGGAGGAGGGAAAGCCGGGAGGAAGCAGAGACAGGACACCTGACCCAAATTGACCAAAGAGGTATTCCTTACCACAGCACGTCATGCCCAGTATATAAACTGGGGGCAGTTACCCAGACGGGCTAGGGCACTGCGCGGTTAGACGAGGTATCAGTCAGTGCTTGGTCAGGCAGGGTGGAGCGAGTTATCGGTCGGCGGGTGGTGAGGTGTTGTATTCTCTTCCTTGTTTTTTCTTTTATCATTATTGGTGGTAGCAGCAGTGATCTGTGTTATACCTTAGTTACTAAACTGTTCTTATCTCAACCCGTGGGAGTTGCATTCTTTTGATTCTCCTTCCCATCCCTCCGGGAGCAGGGGGAAAGCAAAAAGGGGGGGAGTGAGAGAGCGACTGCGTGACTTATGACCGACTTTATTTAAACCATGACACCATGTTTCAGAATTTGGCCCTGTGACATCCAATTCTGTTTTTTTTTAACCTGTTTCTGCAAAAAAGGCTACAACTCACTTCCACTCCTGTTTCTGGAGGTGGCGGTCTGCCTCTCCAAAGAGGTGTCTCATCTTTCCATACACGTCCCTCTAGGGCTCCTGCTCATGAACAGTTAGCTGGTCATTTGATGTCTGAGTATCACATTTTGTTTTGTGTGCTTGACTACCCCACATCTGACATGATGGCATGCCAGAACTACTCCTTGCTAACTCCTCCAGTTAAGTTAATATTGCTTGCCTTATAATTAGCTATATATTTGTATCTGAGTCTGTATTGGAAAATCAGGCATATGAATCTTCATCCTGGTCTATTCTAAGTGATGCTATGCTGAACCCCCCCCCATCAGCTTAATAGATTTTGCCTTTTAATCGAAACTCTGTTAGCTGAAAATGTGTCTCTTTGTATGATCATGGCATTTAACAAGAGAACCCTCCAAAAATAATAAAGCTGCTTTTCAGTAAGAGGAGGCTTTAAGAAGGCAAAGACCTTTTTTTTATGACAGCTTAGTCTAAATGCCTGCTGCTAAAAGATGAGTATGACCAGAAAGTTCAAACTAAATAAAAAATTCCTTTTTCTTGTCACACACACATTTATGTGTATATAGATACACTAATGTATATCTTCAGACAAACCAAAGTACTCTAAAGTGGGAAGAATGACAGAGACAATTGCATCCATTTATATATAACCAAGACTGAGGTGATGTTAGTGTGGAATAATTTAGTATCTTACCCAGTTTTGCTTTCTTCTTTAGTATCAGCAGCAGCTGGAGCTGAAGTAGGCAAAACTCAGCTGTACTGCCTGTGGGGAAGACACAAGAGCAAAGTAATCCTCATCTAATGGTAATCTGTACTCAGACAGGTTTATAATCCCGCACCAAACTTGTTTTCTAAAACAAACAGGAAGCAAGAAAAGCTAGGGCACCTGAGCTATTGCAGTACACTCTCCAAACCCAGCACCGTGGTTCAAACATGAGTTCAGTTCACTATGGAATTCCATATTTTCTGGCAAAATCATTACAATTAAAAGGGAACGAGGTGAAATAAACAAAAGAGTGTGTTTTAATAGACAAAAAAGTTATAAATCAACTTAAAATGTAGTGTCTGTATTCAATTTCTCAAGCTTTCACACTCTACGGCTTTGTGAGTGCTTGTATGTTGGCAAATACTCATAGGAGTTAAATCCATGCATAAATTGGAACCTTAAGAGGATTTAATTACATGTTTCTTACTTCCATTGTAATGACATTAAAATTTGAGAAAGTTCCATTAATGTAACTTTTACAAACAAAATTTAACTTAATTTTTTAAAAACTAAAAAAACTCTTTTAACACAGAGAAGCTGATATTGCACCCTAAGCATTAGGTCTCCCCAAATGACATTAAAAATCATAGTGTTTTAGATTTCTATTTGGGCCCTGTTATGCCTCAGTTCACAGCTTATATTTAATGTTGTTTGAACTTTGCATTTCCAGTGTAAGCCATATTTTAGGGATCTCTAAATTTATACCCTGAAGTTTCTTATGCAGAGAGCAATGAGCTATAGAATAGATACACCTTTAATACACTGATTGAGGGTATTTGCTCTTATTAATACTGCACAGGTTGCTTTACAGTATCACAGTATCACAGTATGCTAGAGATTGGAAGGGACCTCAAAAGATCATCTAGTCCAATCCCCCTGCCGGAGCAGGAACACCTAGATAATGTTACACAGGAATGTGTCCAGGCGGGTTTTGAATGTCTCCAGGGAAGGAGACCACAACCTCCCTGGGCAGCCTGTTCCAGTGTTCCGTCACCCTCACTGAGAAGAAGTTTCTATTAAAAGGAAATATATGTGGAGGAGTGCTAGTGTCACAATATACATTATGTACTTGTTCGGTAAAGATGGACTGGGTTTCATTAATGTCTGAACAAAATTAACCCCACTGCAGCAAGCAAAGTTAATTCTCCTCACTTCTCTCTTCCTCAGCACTACCAAAATTAGCTTCCGCTTGCTTTTCTTTTGCTATTACACACAAAGGTCTAACAGTGTTGCCTGGTGCATGTCCAAAATTAGTATATGGTATATCACCTTTTTCAAAAGGTTAAATCACCTTTTTCAAAAACTTAGATGTGTCTCACACCACGCCTCACAGTTAACTAGATTCTTATGCTAGATTCAGAGTTTCTGGGAGTCCCTGACCTGGAGATACTAGCCCAGCTCCTCTAACAGAGAAAGATCAGCATTCACCTACTAGAGAAACAGAATATTACCATGGATTTGTGCCATTCATTTTGGCAAAAAGCAATCATAGAACATGTTCTTTTTGCCCCCATGTCAACTCACTGATACCCACTTTTTCAAACTGCATTTTTTCCCTGAAAAACACAGAAATATCAACATATTAGAAGAAAATTTCAAATGGATTCTGTATGTATGAAACAGGTTTTAAATTCTAGCTCTTCATTGCTCTTGTTCAGCTACTTATAGCACGCAAATTCAAAAAATAAATCTGACCACTCAGTGCTGTGACTTCTAAATCTATGGTTGTTGAAACTAAGTGAAACAAACCCAAGGATTTCTGTTACACATGTAGTAGTTATAAATAGGATCATAGAATCATAGAATAGTTAGGGTTGGAAAGGACCTTAAGATCATCTAGTTCCAGCCCCCCTGCCATGGGCAGGGACACGTCATACTAAACGATGTCACCCAAGGTTCTGTCCAACCTGGTCTTGAACACTGCCAGGGATGGAGCATTCACAACTTCCCTGGGCAACCCATTCCAGTGCCTCACCATCCTTACAGTAAAGAACTTCCTCCTTATATCCAATCTAAACTTCCCCTGTTTAAGTTTTAACCCATTACCCCTTGTCCTATCACTACAGTCCCTAATGAAGAGCCCATCCCCAGCATCCTTGTAGGCCCCCTTCAGATACTGGAAGGCTGCTATGAGGTCTCCACGCAGCCTTTTCTTCTCCAGGCTGAACAGCCCCAACTTTCTCAGCCTATCTTCATACGGGAGGTGCTCTCCAGTCCCCTGATCATCCTCATGGACCTTCTCTGGACTTGTTCCAACAGTTCCATATCCTTTTTATGCTGAGGACACCAGAACTGCACACAGTACTCCAAGTGAGGTCTCACGAGAGTGGAGTAGAGGGGCAGGATCACCTCCTTCAAACTGCTGATCATGCTCCTTTTGATGCAGCCCAGGATACGGTTGGCTTTCCAGGCTGTGAGTGCACACTGAAGCTGGCTCATGTTCAGTTTCTCATCTATCAACATTTCCAAGTCTTTCTCCACAGGGCTGCTCTGAATCTCTTCTCTGCCCAACCTGTAGCTGTGCCTGGGATTGCTCTGACCCACGTGTAGGACCTTGCACTTGTCATGGTTAAACTTCATGAGGTTGGCATCAGCCCACCTCACAAGCATGTCAAGGTCCCTCTGGATGGCATTCCTTCCCTCCAGTGTATCAATCAAACCACACAGCTTGGTGTCATTGGCAAACTTGCTGAGGGCGCACTCAATCCCACTGTCCATGTTAGTACTAACATATATTTAGTTTCAAGTACATTGTCCTTCTTTTGCTTCTCCTTCATACTTAAATGGGTCAATACATACAACAATTTTCATTCTCAGTTTCAGTCTCCCTCTTCTCTTGCTCAAAGGAGAAGCATCCTTAGATCCTAATAACTACTTTCACCTCTGATTCTTCATGAAGGGTTTCTGCTGTATCATTTTTGAGATAAGATAACCTGAACAAAGCATTCCAACTGACTGTGTGTCACCAAGTTATTCAATAGCCAATGCACGCTAAGCAAACTTTTTACATGGGAGTATGATTATTTTTCTCTCTCACCAAGAATGTATGCAAAGCTTCACCTATGGGGGAGCTTAACTCTATGGCTTAAAATGTAAGTGCCTGGACACTGCTGCAGTTTATAGGCACAGATTTCTAGTGGGAGGTTGGAGACCTGTAATCCTGGCCCCTGTGGCATGTGTAGCCCTAATTTCAACCAAGCTGCATTCGGAAATACTCACATCTGAGATTTTGTTTTATACATTATAAAATGGAATCCTGTCAATCACATGTATTGCCTATGATCTTGGTTTTGATATGTGTCTGTTTCATGTAATGGCTTAATTTTTAGATTATTATGAAGCTTGAGGAAAACAGCCTCTGAAAACACAACATGAAGTAGGGGCTTCTGACACTGAAGATCAATTGAAAAAAGACCAGATTTGACATCTACTGGATGTTTCTGTTAAAATGATCAGCAATGTAGTAAAGATCTGTTAGCATCTTAATTGCAACTTTTAGGCTTCAGTGTTGTTAGCTCACTGGAGTGAGTAAAAAAGCGAACGAGCAATACTGGAAGAGCAATGCCTATAAACAAAAAAAACTCAAAACTTAGAGAAGCAACAATAATTATTAAACGTAATGTGCAAACGCACACCTATACTGGAAATTTTATATCAAATTCCACAGCACATGGCAGAATATGCAACTAATCTTTTGAGCTTTAACTTGACGCATAGAAATAATGTCCAAAAAGTGACAGCCTGGTTGAAATTAGTTGCCCACAAAGTCGTTACTAATTGATAGGATATTGTACCTCATACAGTTATTCTCACTACAGAAGCCTCCACAAGCATTCCAAACCTAGACAGTACTATCATGCAAAGGTTTTTTTCAGGTATAGTGGGAAGATAGACACTAATTTTTTGTATTTCAATACCAGTACCATTTATTTTCTTCTTCTAGGTCTCTGTACACACAGTTTGTGCTATTTATGTTGCTTTTGAATGTTTTGATTTTGGGAAATTCTTCCTTCCCTGCACATGCCTCCATCATTTTTCTGTAATAGGCACTTTGGGCCTTTTTCTTATACTGCTGGATATATATATTTCTTATACTGGATATGATCTCCTGCTTCACATGTTCCAGAGCATCTAGGAAGAACCTTTCCACAGTGGTCCTCTCATTTAAGATATTCTGGGCTAGTTCCTTCACTTGGTTCATCTCCTGATCTTTCATTACTAGTAGTTGCTGCAGCTTCTTGATCTCGACCATACTTGCCTGGTTTTGTATCAGTGCCTGATGCTGTATTTTCTGAGTCTCTACCTCAGATTCTGTGGTCACATGACATAAGTCCCTCTCCAGCTTTTCTACTTTACTCTGTAGATCTCCAATCTATGCTTTCTGACAACTGATCTGTAGGATCGTTTTTTGAACCAAAGCCTCAGTGGTTTCCTAAAAGATGAAAATAAATTGCTTGGGGTTTTATTTCATTTGTGCCAAATCTGGAGGTGTGGTTTTACAGTCTTTTTTTCCTCCAACACTGAGAGTAGAGTAAACATGCAGGCACCTTCATACTGGAGAGTGAATACTTCTCTGGGATCAGATTTTTGTTTACAAGAAAAGCCAGATAACGAAGACTTGGTAAATAGTATACATTACAGAGAGACTTATTCTTAATGGGCTAGCATAGGAAATCATTCTTTCTCCTCCATGATGAAGATGGAATAAGAACTGTCCTTCGGACACCTCCAAATTCAGCAACTGCAGAAGCATCTGACCCCTTCCTGAAGGAGAATGGAACAGAACTAAAACCAGAGCAGAAATCTTCTCCCGTAACGGAAGACTTTTGTCCTCTTCTAACTTCTGTTTGCTTTTCTCCAATTCCACTGTTCCTTTCAGCTGGTAAGCAAATCCACTGTGAAGACAAACATCCACCTTAAATACCTCTCTCTCAGCGCTGGTCTGGTGCCTGGACAGAGGGAAACAAAATCCAAAAGCTTTAATCACAACCTTTCTTGTTTGTTTTGTTTGTTGTTTGTTTGGTTGGTTTTTTTCTTAATAAAATCGACATTTCAGTGTCTTAATTTAAAAGCTAAGCTGTAAAATTCTTACAGCTCTCTACCAAGTTTTCACAGCTTTGCTTCTACTCCTGTATCTGGACTAGAAGAATGAAGGAAACAGCACTATTATCATGGTAATATTACTCCTCTAGAGCCTTACCATATAAATGTAAGTGCTGCCTCGGTCATCACTGATTTTGCCCTTCAAAGCCCATGTAATAACATGAGCAACTTACTTAGAACACAGCACTAAGTAGGTTTTGTAAAGCAGAAAACAGGAAAAGCAAGTATTTCTTATGAATAAGTCTCACGCTGGGCAGTCTCTGCCATCATTGTTTGCTTTTTCTCAACTTTTTCTTCCAGTCTTTTCTAAAAGGGAGAAAAGAAATGTTTAAATTTTGCATGAGACTTGTGGTACCAAAGCTAAAATCTGAAACAGTGTAAATTCTAAAATCACACCCACACTTTTCATCTCACCCACCTCTTGTTAGAGAAAGAATAAACCAACAAGGACACTGAAGTTTCTGATGGAAACGAGGAATACTGTCTTTCTGCGATCCTGACATCCCATGGTCTTCCTTAGAAAGCTGCATTTAGCCTCCAACTCATTCATCATACTTGTAGTAACATGGGAAATTGTTCAAATACTCATCAAAGAATTGTGAAAACTGTATAAACCAGAGTAGTCAATGGAAAAAATCATTTTGTTCTAATAAAAGTTAAAACTGCCTTTTCTTATAAAATATACCTGCCTTTTTTTATAAATAAAACTGCCTTTTCTTCAAGCAACCTCCTCTCCAATCTCACAAACACTTCCTGATGTCCATGTTTGAAACCGCTATACTTTCTTTTAACTATGATAAAAACCAGAATTTCTTTAATAATGGTGTTTTTTGTCAGCCATATAACTGACACATATAAGCACTCTCAAGAAGGAATTTGGTACTACCACAGAATTCTATAATTCTACCAAATTACTACCTGCCACTACCAACAGTCTTCATCGATGTTTTACATAATCTATAAAATTCACATAAACTTCTGACTTGTATTATTGCTTTGTGTCCCCTTTGCAGTTCACTTGTGTCCATAATTTCACATCACTGACTGTAATTTACAATCTATTGCTCTGTTTTGTGATCAGCTTCAGAAATCTGCTTTACTTTATCTATTCATTCAGTCACCATTCATTCAAAGTCCAATGCCTCGAGTGTTCCTTGAAAAATGTCTGACTAACATGCATTTAATAGCCTAAAAGCAGCTATCCCTGCCTATGGCAGGGGGGTGGAACTAGATGATCTTTAAGGTCCCTTCCAACCCAAACCATTCTATGATTCTATACATTAAGAATCCAGATGCTGTTAAACAGTCATTTGTCTCCATGGAGACAAAGGTCTCCATGGCATTGTTTCTAAGTCCCTTCTTGTGGTTAAAAAAAAAATCCAGCTGAGTTGAGTCAGCAAAGCACTTGAATTGTTCAAAGCCCTTTTTTCATGTCAACTGAGATACTTCTTTATATTTTACAGTCAATACTACTATTTAATATTTGTATTATAGTTCCAAAGTATTTCTGATTAGGTCATGTGCTGTGTAAGTTCTTAGTGAAAAACAGTCCCTAGTTTTATATACTAAATAGCTTATGTGGTTGAAAAGATGATACCATACCAGCATTCACATCCTAACTGAGCCAACTAGTGAGAAAGCGGTCAGACTTAGATTGACTTGTAGCAATTGATTTGTAGTCAATTGCTAGCTCCTTCATACATGTCTTTAAAGGGTGTACTAGATGCTGAGTCTACCCACGTTTGTATGATTCCATGTTAGTCTGTAAAAAAACAAACAAACCTACAGCACTGAACCATTACAGAAGTGAGTTCTGGCTACAGAACTTGCATTTTATCAACCTAGTGCTTTTCTTCACCCTCTGTAAGGAAAACAATGCAGTGGATTGGCCATATCCTCCACTCCCAATTTCCATACTGTCTTGCAGACAGAAAACTTACATTACAAATGCATATTTATTACAAACTTATATCTTCCAGCTCTTCCTCAATAGCCGCTTGTCCCCTATAGAACTCCCTTATTAATTTCAGTTCTAATTTAATTTGCCCAATTTCTCTTAGTTTTTTTCTGACATTTCTCTTCCAGTTGTTTTTCTGTCAGGCATAATAGTCTGCCTGCAATCAGAAATGGAGATAAACCAATCATCATCATATTATAACATAAAACACAGAGCATACGGAACTGAATGTCTAAAATTCCATGCCATGTCGTTTTAAAAAAACTACAAAGAATCCATCATTAGAAGAAATGCTGCAAACTCAGCAGAAGCTACACTCCAGTGAAATAACAAGTATAGAAATTAAGTTTAAAGCAACATCCATAATATAATTGTATTGGGTTAACATGGCACGGTTTTGGTAGTGGAGGGGTGGGGGGACTACAAGAGAGGCTTCTGTGAGAAGCTGCCAGAAGCTTCCCAGGTGTCTAACAAAGCCAAAGCCAGCTCCAAGATGGTCCCACCACTGCTGAAAGCTGAGCCCATCAACAATAGTGGTAGCGCCTCTGGGATAATGTGTTTAAGAGGGGAAAACGGCTGTTGCACAGCACTGGGAAGAGAGGAGTGAGAGTATGTGACAGAACCAACTCTGCAGACATCAAGATCAGTTCTGTGTTGCTTATTTGAGCCAGATTAACAAACAGTAATTTTCTCAGTTCTTTTTAAGAAGTCTTGATTCAACAGTAATGAGTGAAGAACTATAAAGCAATTCAAAGTAGTTATAGTTCAGCTCATTAAAAATGAAACATGTTTTTGCTGTGCCTCAGGTCTTACGGTTACCCAGCTAGTTGCTAATACTATTTCAGAATATATATAATAGTCCTACTACTACCTGATACAGTACTGCAGAGTCATGGGATAACTCCCACATCACCATTGTTGTTGGTTTTTTTTTTTTTTCAAATTCTTCATGCAGTATTTTTGAATCAAAACCTGTGACCATTAATTGCACAAGCTCATTCCTCATACTAAAATCAGAACTACTCTTCAGCCTGCTCAGAAGATTCCACTGTTACAAGGACAAAGAAAAAAGTTCATTCACCATCTTCTTATCATTTTGCACTTGCTGTTTCAAATCAGTCAGCTCCTGCTTCTGTTTTTCAATCTACGGCAACAGAAATCAAAAAACAGTAACTGTGAGGGGAAAAAACATCCTTGCTGTGTTCTTCTCTGACAGAAATAGGAGAAAGATGCCTCATTTGCAATGTTCAGGTCAATTAAACCATGTTTAAAACTTTGATTTGTGTTAATGACAGGAAATTTAAAAGCTTAAACTATAACCCCCCTGCCATGTATTCAATACAAACAGATCTGTGACTCTACTGAAGAATTAAGCTATGCGGACAGCGGATTTTCTTCCTTACTGTTTTGGATAGTGGTGCAGTGTTAGAGAAACAGTTTAGAAAAGGAGAACAAAAGACACAAAAAGAGGCAGCTGGAAAAAGGTCTGAGTAAGATCTTCTATACTGGAGAGTCTGAAAGAAAACTTGCATGTGAGCAAGGAAATTGTCTCCTACCATTTGACCTCACCAATGTCCTGGGGATCAGAGCTTTCCATCTTCTTTCATATATATACACACACACACATATCTATATAAAGTTAAAATAATTCCAGTTTCCACTGTTTTGTTGTTGGTTTTTTTTCTAACTGAAAAAGGGTTTTGCTTCGTACCGGGCTTTAGAAAAGTAGAAACGGGACTAAAGTGAAATAATCTCTGACAGAGGAAATGGAAGGTACAATGCAGGGCTTCTTTTTCTTCACTGCGTTCCGAGTGGAGTTTGGCTCTATTTTCTCTAAAAACTTCTGCAGGCAGCTAAATCCATCCCATTCCCCCTTAACTTTCTCTTTTTTCTCAAGCTGACGAACGCTTCAGCCTTTTCCTGTACACTCTGTGCTGAAGCATCCGACCATCTCATTTTCCCTTCCCTGCCTTCGTTGCAGCGTTTTGCTCTCTCTTCTGTACGGAGGGCGAGCCAGACAGGACGCCGCGGTCTCGCGTGAGGCAGCAGGCGGGCACCAGAGGCGAGGCTCCCAACCCGCAGCCGAGTCTGCCAAGAGCAGTCCCGCCGCCGGGGCGCGCTGCCGTTTCACGCTCGTCCACCTTCGGCTGCAGGAACAGGAGCGGCCGGGGCGGCCGCGGGGTGTTTTGCTGCGCGCCGAGAAGCTGTAGCTAGGGGGGATAGGAGGGGCCTGCCCGGCTGCACGCACACCTCCTCCGCCTTCTCCTGGCCCGGCTTCGTGAGGCAGGCCATAGCGGCCGCCGCTTCCCTTCCCTAGTCCTGCCGCCGTCACAGCAGTTCCGCGTTGCTCCTGGCCAGCCGGCCGAGCTTCAGCGTACTCGGCCCGGGAGGCTTCGGTGGCCGCCGGCCTAGCCTCCCATAGCGCCGCCTCCACCTCCGACCCACTTCTTCTCAGACAGCTGGGCTGCCCGTCCAGCCTACCGCCAGGCTGCGGGAGCGGGAGCAACTGCGACGGAGCGCGGACCACCCGCCGGCAATGCTTCCCGCCGCCGCCGCCCCGGGCCTCCCCCAGCACCCTCCGCGGCCGAAGCGAGGAGCGCGCGTGGCGGCCCGTTCCCATGGACACCAGACGGCGCCCTCCCGCGACGCGCAACTCGCGCGACGGGTGCGTCACGTGGGAGCGCTGACGAGGCGCGCAGGAGCGGCGAGATGTGGCGGCGCCAGCGGCCCGAGGGCCCGGTGAGCGGGGAGGGGTGTGACAGAGTCGCGTTGTCACGGAAACAGCCGCCCTGCGCGACGGGAGCGGGAGCTGGGGGCTGCCGCGTCCTGCCCGGTGCGGCAGAGGGGCGGGCAGCGAGCCGCTCCGAGCCTCGGTGACACCCCGCACGCACACACCCCAGCCCGACCGGTGCCGGGTCCCGGCGCTCCGCCGAGGCGGCCTCAAGGAACGGCGTGAGACGCTTGGAAGCGAAGGAGTCGGCGGCGTTTCCGTTACTCCGCGCGGGGCGGCCGCCCGGGGCGGGCAGAAGGACGGGTAACAGCTGCGGGTGGCTCGCGGGGCAGCGGTCCGTGTTTCCACCGGTGTTCTCGCTCGGTGGTGTCGGTGCCGGGATCCCGAGAGCTGTGCTCCCCCCTCCCTGCCCCCGGAGCCGCGAGGGCTTTTGCTTTGGGGAGAGAATGAAGGTCGGGGAGTTCGGTGTCAGGGCTTAGATTGAGGCTGTCGGACGTGGAGAAAGGCGGAATGCTTTGGCGCTGGGGTGCGGTAACGGCAGTTAGGTTTGGGAAAGGGCCGTTACCCAGCCAGTCTCCCAGGTTACTTCAGGTGAACCTCTAAGGGACGCTTTCAAAGCGCGCAACCAGCAGCGCTGTGCTAAAGTCAGCGCTGGAATTCTCCCCGCGCTTAGACTGAAGCTGAAGCCCTCTGCATCCAAAATCTGTTTCTCGAGACCAGCGGTTGGTCCCACAGAAGGTGTTAGTGACAACCCCGGAGGTATAGGTACGGTCACAGGGTTGTAAAGGGACGCTCTGACACGCTGCAGGAGGGAAACGCAGCGCTCTCTTGAGAAGCTGCTTTGGCCTAATTAAATAGGAAGACTGAAAACCCACTTGGCCAGAAATGAGCATAAATAAGTGATGTGTACTTGGAGCCGCAGTAGAGGGGAAAGATCAACACCCTGATAACACATGTTGGCGAGTTGGGCCTGGTTTGGGTTTTGTTTTTTTTTTTCATGTTAGCGAGTTGGTTTCTGTTTTTTTGAAGCTCTAGGTGCAGAATTTTCCCCAAAAGGTATGTGTGCAAAGAATATTGTGTCATCACCTGTACGGAAATGCCGGGCAATTCAGTCAGTGATCTCAGGGTTTTGTTTCTATTGTTATTCTTAAACTCTGTACTTTTAGTAAGCTTAAATTTCTTAAATTTTTTTTTAGTAGGTAAAAATAAGCCCAGGAAACCTGAAATGACTTTTTGTTTCTAGGAAAAAAATGAAAAATATATTTGTCTAGTCCTGAGTGCAGCTCATCTGGAAAACACATCTTGTTATAACAGCTGCTCATCTGAAAAATAGATTCTGGTGTAGTGCAGAAAATAGGCTTTCCAATCTGAACGTTTTCTGGTGTGCTTGAGCAGTAACAATATGAGTTGAATTACATCATTCATCTATTTTGTTTTTCTAAAATATTTACCTATATATTTATATATCATAAATATTTCTAATTATTTTCTAATGTTTTTATTCATATATAATAAATATTTACCAGTAGTATTTTAGGAAATGGAAGGAAGGTTCTTGTATATCTTCCCCTCAGATCAGACAGATTCCTTTTTACAGGAGATGCTCCTGTTGCTGTGGTTTAGGTTTTGCATGTTCTTTTGTCAGAAATATTCAAGAGTGTGGGTGAGATTTATTGTGTTGAAAATTACCAGTGTCTCTGTGTGTTCTGAGCTCTAAGAAAGGTTGTGGTTTGCTGCCTTAAGGGTTTTTATGATTGCTCTGTCATTATTTTTGCTTTTGTGTTTAAGAAGGGTTTGGTTGCGGGTTTGAGGGTTTTCTGTTTCTCTTCTTCCTTTTCTTATTCATGCTTCCAGTCTTGGCTTAAACATTTTGGTTTGGTGGGGAAAATCTAGCTTGTACCAGTGATATTTATGTGTGTTTCTCTGTGTTGGGACATAAGTGTTCTACCTTGTGTCACTGGACTCAGGCCAGTGCTGTTGAGGTCAATGTAGTGTTTGTGTAAATGTTTTACTAACTTGTTGAACTCGGTTTAACTTTCAACTTCTTTAAGTTCGTCCCATGTAATTATCTGAGCATGTTTCACTGCTTGTATTGGTCAATGATAAACTCAAAACTTGAATAAAGCAGCTCGACTGATATTTTATGTGCCTCCATGACTTACCGTTTTCCTGACATAGTCCACTCCTACTAGCTGAAAGTAAAGGTGAAGAAGTGCAGACAGTGTCTCTTGTCACAGTGCTCCAAAGTGGTTTTCATTAGGAATCTCTTGAGTGGAATAGCTTTTGCTTCCATCCTGTTTCAGGTGTGTGCCTAGTGTATTCATGATTTATGTTAATTATAACTGCTTATTTATAAAGGCAGTAGCTGGAGCGTACGGGTGGTGGTCTGTGTGTTTTACCTGCTGAACTGCTTGCTCATATTAATGAACTTGTGTTACCCTGTTTTTTTTTTTCCTTTCTGTTTGTTCATTTTATCCATCTATTGTATTCTGAAAACAGCTAGGATTTTAAGTTGTTTGAGAGGAACTCTCTTGGAAACGTTTTTCCTTCTTGGTAACTAGTCTCTTGTCTGTTTCTACCCTATTTTTTTTCTTCCATTTTTGCTTCTGACCCTATCTTTCCAAATTAATTTTCTATTGCCATTTCTGTTACATTCTGCCAATTTCTTTCTCTTGTCTGTGATTTCTTACTGTCATAATCTGTTTTTATGCTTCTTGTGGACAGTTTTGCTAGTGTGCTTGATTAAAAGGTCTTCAGCACTCATAAAAGAGGCTACATGTGCTTTTTTCATTCTTAATGGGGATGGAGAAAAATAAAATCCCAAAGTTGTTTAGGGTTGGGGTTATTTTGTCCTTACGAGCATAGGGGTGGAAAGTTAAAAAAGGAAGAAGCTGAGAATGGAAAGTGTGAAATGGTGGTAGATGTCAGAGAAGGGATAGAGGAGAGAAGCTTAGTGAGGGAGTGCTTCCTGGAAGGCTAAGGCTCATCCACTAGTAGATCTCGCAAGAAAACTATGTGTTAATGATGGCAGTTGCTCGGATATTTTCGGATCATCAGAGATGCTGAGGCTTGCACAAGTGTCACATGTGAGGTTTGTAATAGGACCCTGCAGTTTGTTCTTAAGGCAGGTGCTTGGGTTGTATTTGTGATGGATCAGTAAGCAAAATCCTCACACTGCATGAGAATAACAACACTGGCAGAAGGTAGTACTCATTACTGTGGCTTGTGTTCTGTTAAAAACAGCACGGCTTCTTAGATTTTCGGTAGACCTCCTTACTGTGATGAAGCAAACATGGGTAATGCCAGCTGAGTCTTAGTACAGATCCATAGCTATGAAGCTGCCAAATGGCTTAGCACTTTTCATTAACTCTGTTCAGGATAGGAAGTTGTCGCACATTAGAATTAAGTTTTTACTCATTTCCACATAAAACGCGGATACTTTAGAAACTACTACAGTTGGAGTTGATGTGTTACAGAAGGGTGGCCAGGGGTATCACCTCTTTATGAGGAATCATAAAGTCACTTCTTCCTCTTCTCAGAGTGTGCTTCAAGGGCAGAGTGGATCAAGAGCTTGTGCTTCTGCCTGCAGCACTCTGCATTTAGTAGGAGCAAGAGGGTACAAATACAGGTCACAGAAGACAAGCAAGGTTACCCTTCTACAGGGGGCTGTGTGTTTTGTGCTCTAGAGATAGCTGAACACTTGAGTGAGTTAGTGAGACATTTGAGGAATGACCCAACGTGATGTTGTTTATGGAGTATGGATAAAAGTTAATCACACTTTGCTGTAACTGGGGACAAAGGTGAAGGATGGAAACAACAAGTCGTGCAAAGGCAAAATCTGGGATAAAAGGTAGTGGAGGATAAGTGAATTCTTTGGGTGTGGGAGAAGGTGTGTGGAAATAGAGGCTATGTCTGATTCACATAGAAAAGGGGGAATGTCACGAGGATGGAGCCAGGCTCTACTCAGTGGCAAACAATGACAGGACAAGGGGTAATGGGTACAAACTGGAACACAAGAGGTTCCACTTAAACTTGAGAAGGAACTTCTTCTCAGTGAGGGTGACGGAACACTGGAACAGGCTGCCCAGGGAGGTTGTGGAGTCTCCTTCCCTGGAGACTTTCAAAGCCCGCCTGGACACATTCCTGTGTAACATTATCTAGGTGTTCCTGCTCCGGCAGGGGGATTGGACTAGATGATCTTTTGAGGTCCCTTCCAATCTCTAGCATACTGTGATACTGTGATACTGTGAGAGGTTTGGAATTAGGAATGACCAAATGTGGGATAGAGATAGCAAGCAAAGATTCTGAGAGAATGAATGTAGTGGGGCTGAGCAGATCTCCAAAATACAGTCAAATGTGAGGACTAGAAGTGGGTGAGGGTCTCGGGCGGAGCAGTTAGACAGGCATATGATGTGAAATGTTAAGTGCTGTGGGTGGACAAATGTGTTACCAAGTGTCTGGAGAGTGATAAGGAGCTGTTTGCTCCTTCTGTATGCTGAGTGCTCTGTGTGTATGTCAGCACAGGCGATACTGCATATGGTGGGACATCTGGCCACATGCTCTTTTTTGCTGTTAA